GTTACCACAGCAGTGTGAAGTTCTAAGACAACTTATTAATCATATAATGTAGTTCACATGTCTGTTATTGACTTTCCTTGAAGGCCTTGCCTCTGATCTAAATCCCTGCTCTCAGCTCAACTTTATTGTTTCAGTGAATGTCATCAAGAAAAACAGCAAGTACATTACATTAGGCTCAAATTACATTTGATCAGCACTCCCTCCATCCGCCCATACGTTTCAACAATAACCCACCACAGGGTGCATAAAGCCGAGCAGCAGGATACAAAACGATAAGTAGCTCATGAGCACCACTCTGTGGCACAAAGTATAATGGCAGCGGTTGCTCTGTGCTTTTCTATGCAGCCATTAGACAGCAGCATAGAGCCTCAATACATGACCATGATACATACCTGTGTGACCTGAATGACACAATTTGATTAGCAAAAGTCAATCTTTTATTTTTTTTACAATCTTACAATTGTGTCAGTGACCTTTGAGTCAAACGACTGCTAGGCTCATTCACGTTGCACTTCTGGCAGTCTGAATGTTGCCTATGGAGGAATGCTAAGACACTCAAAACAGAGCTGCTCTGGATTCGTGGCGAGACTAATCCTGTCCTGACAAGTCTGCCGCTGCTCAGGAGCTCATTGTCTTCCCTGTGTGACTTTATCATAGCCTCAAGGAAGGTATTTCCACTCCTTCCCCTCCACCATTCACGCCCACACATTCTCACCAGTGCACACACACACACACACATAGAGAAGGCACTTTGCACTTGTTATATGGGTGTGGTTTCTGCTGTGCAAGCACAAGGGAGCAGGCATATTGACAGCCAGTGCAAATATGAACCCTTGACTCCTGAGGCCTCGTTTGATGTAACTGATTAAATAAGGTTGATGATGAGGTAAGCTGCACCAGGCTCCAAAGAAGTATTCAACAACATGCGATGAACCCCTTATCTCAGTATTTTGTTGATACGTGTCTCTGCTTTCGCGAGCGCATCTCAAGCGTACAAGCTGACCCAGATCACTCAGAGAATGTAGATCCTTTCAGTCAGATCAATTATTCATAAAAAGATGACGGGGCATGCCTGCTTCGTCTTGATATGCCTGAGACATAATCTAGACGGTTGCTCCTTAATGGCCCAGGATAATGTGCAGCACTAAACAGGCAAAAGCCATAGTCAGCAGTTTACTGAAATCGGGGTTAAACCTGAAGTCCCCCCCCCCCTCCCCCACGCTCCTCTGCTTCACTCCTTTAATTTTCCTGTCCTAAGAACAAGTTGTAGAAGTAGAGGAATGATGAATAGAAGAATAACTAAAAGATGGATGTAGCCAAGGGCTCAGTATGTCCAACAGGGGGCTCTGTGCCTCCATTTAAGCATACATGGGCAAAGTCAAACTAAATTTAGAAATTAACCATATATTTCCTGATAAGATTATTTTTCATTGTAATATCAATATTTGCAACCAAACTTTTTTTTTAAATCACAATGTTTAAGGTGTCCATAAGTTACAATAAGTGAAAGATTCACACCTCATTGGACCGGTCTGTCTGTAGCAGATTATATATTGATGAACTTTTTCAGTTGATTTGTTAAGATCAGGTGAAGGAAACATGAATAGAACATACACTGAGTTCTGCTTTCAATCACAACAGTTGGAGCTAATATGGCCAATGATGATGCATCAAACACACATCAGGGGTTTCCTGCAGTGCTTTAGGAGGTGGTGGCTGTAGCTCTGTAGGTAGAGCCTTTAACCACGAGGTTGGCAGTTTGATCCCCGGCGCCTACTGTTTATATGTCAAAGTGTTCTTGAGCGAGACATTAAACTCTGAGTTGCTCCCACAAAACCCTCTTTGAGTGAAGACATTTATGTGAAAAGAGCAGAGGTTTGCCTATTGTTCATACATCTACTCACTAAACTGGTCACTGACCACATCGGCTGAACACTTTCCTCAGGGAAACCCTGCACATACTGAGGATTACGATGGAGCACAACATTATGAGCCAACATGTTAGGTAAATGTCTGAGAGTCTCATGCTGTTTTATCAGGGTAAGCACTGAATGAGGAAATACCTTGACCTGACCTGACAAAGGAATACATGTGCACAAAAGTAGACTAGCCTTGATGCTAACATGTGAAAGGCAGCCATGAAGGACAAGAACAACTGTACGGACCAAAATAACATTCTTAGAAAGAAGAAGAGCACTTAACGTTGCCAGGAAAATGTTGCACAGACATCAAGCGTTTTCTGTGGAAAGATGATGTTAGAAAGGAATATATACACCAACAGTACTGTCAGAGGAACAACCAAAGATACAGTGTGATTACAAACAAAAACCACGTTCTTTATTTAATCAGGCAGTCTCATAGACTGATAAAATATGAGTTTACTGTGAAGGATATTAAAGCTTTAAGTTGCTGAAGTCACCTTTTCCAACCAGTATTGTTGAGCATCCATTTAATTTAAATATATTTAGAGCAGCCAACAGTTTCTGTCATTTCAGTGTAGCCTCGTGCTGCTGAGATCGATGACGAGGTCAGAAATGATCGTGTGATGTCATGGACTACAGGTTAACTGGGTCATACTATAACAGCCTCTCAAGCTTTCCTAAACTAGTTTCTACTTGTTTCTCTTTTTTCTTCTCCAAATATATGTATCTATCATCTGAGAGTAGCTTAAGCACTCAACATACTTTGATTTTGCTTACTGGTGCCTTCTCTGCACCAATATATGTCAACATAGATAAATCAAGTCAGTTTAGATAGATAGATTAATGCTACCACACGTTTTATTCCTAACTTGTCTATTGTATTTTATTATTATTGTTTTGTATCTTATTTTAGGCCAGGATTTTTACCCTTTTTATTTATTCATTATTATTTTATTGTCTGATTTTATTGCCTGAACTGGTTTAATGCCGATTCTACCTTCTAATGGACTTTGAAAAGTGCTGGATAAATAAAGTTCATAATTATTATGTGCACAACTTGCCCCTGCAGGCTCCACGTTAATCCTCCACAAATGCACGGCACCGCCACTTAGCCCTGAACACAGACCAACAACTCAAAGTTGCATGCACATTGAAACACGCCCATCCTCTTGTTGACAGCTTGACGTGGCTAATTCCTCCCGCCAGGGGGCGCTGCTCTACTGGATGAGGGCTCTCTGCCCGACTCTAGGTTCAAGACATTACCAATGTGTGTGTATGGTGTGTATCCAGTGAAAAATACCCGGAGACGGACAGAGACCGTTTTTCAGACCGTACCAATGTGTGTGGTTTATAAATATGTTATATTAACCCCAGCGGAATCATCTCATGGACACAACAGTGTGTCGACAATGAGGGAATAATCGGAGGAGACAAAAACGGCGAGGCTCGTCTGTAGCTTAACGTTTTGTTGAACTGCGAGTGGGATCACAGCTGCTGGCTACGAAAATGTCGGGAAAAATAGAGAGCAAGCAAGGTAAGTCCTGCCCGGCTAGACTCCACCACACCGCTGCACCTCGGGATGTATATGTATAACGGTATTCCTCACGCGGGACGCGGATGTATCAAACGTAGGGGTCTACAGACCAACTAAACGGGGGTCCAGACAACGTTTGGATGTTGGGTGTAAATTGTGGTTTAATTGGGCCTCATGGATTGTTCTTTTCTCGGCTATCCAGTCGAAAATAAATCAGCACCATATCAGCTAGCTGGTATTAGCTACAGTTTAGTCAATGGAGCAAATGGCTCATGCTGAATAGAGATAACTAGCTGGTTAACTGGTCGGTTAATGGTCAACGGTGTTACTACAGCAATGTGGCGAGACAGATGTACCATTTCGATGTGATATCATCCTATAACGTTAGCTCACTTCACCGGCATTTCACAATCCTCTCTCAGCTCCTCGGTCGTAAATAAACCCTGGTTTGATTGTTTGGAAGCTAACATTCAAATTACAAATCTCAGCTTTTCACACGGGAAGAAACGTTTTAACATAATTTGTACTAATGAGGATATGGTGTTTTATAATTCCTTCTTTTCAGTTGTCAAATAGCTTACTAACATTTTAAAAAAACGGGGTCGTAACGGTGGCTAGCAATAGCTAGCCCAAATGTTAGCCTTTCACTAGCTACCGCTAGCTACGTTGTTACCTAGTACACTTGAGTTGAAACGCGTTCACGCCCAAGACTTTCGTGCGTATTTGTGTTTGTGTTGATTTCAACACTGTGCACGTGGCGGGTTTTTTCTTCTTCGTTGCTTTGGCCCATGTTGTGTATGTCTACACGCGCCGTTAATTGTGTATGCAGCTTTAAAGACATAAAAAGGAGAGCAATGGATACGAGAGGAAACGGGGTGGTCTCGGGTATGCCTTTGGAAGGAAACTTTATACCCGGCGGGCTACACTTGCATCCCACTCCACCAGCTGTCTCCCTGCTTTGCTCCACATACAGTCCTGTCCGGTGATGCCTGCAGTAAATGGACACACACACACACAGAGACAGACACACAGCTCCCAGTAACAGGCAGGGAGGGAGTGTCATCCACCACTAGCTCAGTCATTCTTCATAGGCGTAAAAGTTTCCGATTCCTTTCCTGTCTCGCAGACAGATGACTACATATGGTCACAGCTAAATGAAAAATCAGGGTGCAATGTAGCTTTTGTCGATTTGTGGTTCAACAGTTGGTTAAAAGCAAATAAAGGCAAAGGATAATAGTCACTGTGAGCCCAATCCATCACCTCTCTCTCACGCGGACCAGCCCCCCCCCAAGGCTCCCTAGTCGGGTTGACCAGGTCATTTTGTTGGCCTGCATTCTGCTCTCGTCCACATGTTCCTATCGATCCCAAATATGTACCCAGAGGATGCGCTATGCTGGATGCCAGTGAAATGGAAAGAGGGGCCCAAGGCTGGGGACTCAGGGTAGCACTGTAAAGCTGTGGCATAGCTTCAGTGTCAGCTTAGAGAGAGAGAGAGAGAGAGAGAGAGAGAGAGAGAGAGAGA